CGGGAGCTTCTCTGTCCATGGCTGAACAAGACACTGATCTACGGGTGTAGCAGAATGTTACTAGGAGTCATTGTCGTGCTACCTTCCTTTAGCAGAACGGTAGTATTTGGTTTTCCCCAAGGCTCATGGCCTATCTAGTCTCAGATTCTTGATACCTGAGAAGTATCCAGGCATGGGTTCCGTCTCACAGAGTGACCCTTAAATCCAATAAAATAGTGTCTGGTTCCTCCTACAACTGTTGGGACACTGTTACGTCTGCCTGCCATTTAGGTAGGTCACCATTGTAGACTGGAAGGTTTATAAGTGGGTTGGTGTTTATCTTCCTATCATGCAGAGTACCTCGAAGCATCATAAATACTAGTCAGTAAGGGTGAAGGTTCTAGACAGGCACCCAGCTTGACTTCTGTTGTGTTGGTGAGATATGTAGGTGTTGTCTTCTGTAGTAGGGCCTTCCTATCAGTTTATGGAGAACAACCTTGGCCTTGGCAATAGTCTGAATTGTTTGGAGGGTTCCATTGGGCCCCTTTGGCCAACAACTTGATTAGATGTAACTTGTTCCTAGCATTGGAGGTTTCACTTGGTGTCAAGAGATGTCTAGTTGGGCTTTCTGTCCCCCATTATTTGGTGATTCCATTTAGATTTTTCTCACTTATGTTTACACGTGAAGAAGCTTCTACTATAGTAGGTTTCTGTATGACCCCTCAGGTGACCCTTAGTTGTCCCTCCCCATATTCCCTCCTATTACCCTCTCTTCCCTACCCCTCTCCATTTAATCTTTCCATTCCAGCCCCTACCCCCTATTTCTCCATAACTTCATGTTCTGTTTCCTCTATATTTGGAGCAACTCACCTCGGTCCCTTACTCTGTGAATACTCTTTGTGGTTATTCTGATAGTAGCATGCTTACCAAAGGTTTAAAAGCTAACATCTGCACAGAAGCAAATACATATCTTTTTCAAATACATATACCTCACTGGGGATAGCTTTTTCTAAGGCTATCCACTTACCCGCGAATTTCATTAAAAGAAAAACAAAACAAAACAGATGAGTAACCCTCCATTATGTAAATATAGCACATTTTCATTACCCATTGGTAGGCTTTTAGGCTGTTTCTAGTTTCTGCTATTATGTGTAGGGAACCAATGAATATGGGTGAGACAGTGTCTCTGTAGTAGTTTGGTTATAATCTGACAATGTCTGGTGCTTTTAACTTTTGGGTTCAGAGCACGTATCTACCTACATACATGCTAGTATTTTTGTTTGCTAGCTTGTTTGTTTTTTCAGACAGAGTTTCTCTATGTAATTCTAGATGTTCTGGAGCTATCTATATAAACCAGGGTGACCCTGAACTCAGAGAGGTCTGTCCGGCTCTACCTCTGCCTCCCAAGGGTTGGGATGAAAGGCATGTGCTACCATGTTAGCCATGCTTGTGTTCTCAAGATTTGACTAATCTTTGATATCTTGTTAATTTTTTTCTGCATTTATTTTTCTCCCTTCAGTTTCAGATTATATTTTAACTTATTTATTTACTCAATTTTTATCCTTCCTTCCTTCCTTCCTTCCTTCCTTCCTTCCTTCCTTCCTTCCTTCCTTCCTTCCTTCCTTTCTGACTGGGTCTTGCATAGTTCAGGCCTCAGAATCACTGCATTGCATTGGTCTTGAACTTCTGATTCTCCTGCCATCATGCCTGCGTGATGTGAGTGGTACTAGGGATTGAACCCAGGGCTTCATGTATGTTAGGCAAAACTCTACAAAGTGAGCCATATCTCTAGTTCTTCAATATAATTATTTTATGGTTATATTTTATTTTTACAATTGGCTTATTATTCCTGGGACTCATTTTAGTTTTCTAGTTACTCTTGGGTTTATAATGGGATTAGTTTAATTAAAATCTGCCTTTCAGTGGGATTTTCCCAGGTTACATGCAGTACAGCAAACTAAAACAACACGCTCAGCTTTTCTGATGTGTATTGCGTGCCACTGTTGGTATACGTCCTAAGTTTCCCCATGTTCTGAACCCACGATGCGTTGGTTATATTTGCTTCCATATAAGCAGTATTTTAAAATAGAAAATGAATACCTTCTGTTATGTTAAACATTTGCAGGGATACACTTTCCCTTGCTGGCGTCACATCTCCTTACCTTGAAGAATATACCTTAGCATTTCTTACAGTTCTGATCTGCTGCTGAATTAAGTTTCCCAGTTTTTCTATCACTATAAAAGGCTCTTTATTCCTTTATTTTTGAATGGTGTTTTAATTATGTGGCGGGCTGAGAGTTTTTTCTTTGAGCACTGTAAAGAAAAAAAGTCCTGTGAAGTCTCTACCAGGATGACTGCTATATTCCTTGTCTTCTTGATTGCCACGTAATAATGCTTATAAGATACAGTGTCATGTTTTCTCTACATTGCTTAATATTTGACTCTGGGTAATTAGCCTATCTATCACATTGGGCATGAGATAGTGCATGTGGTGACATCATTCAAAGTCTTCCCAGCTTCTTGAGGTCTGCTATTATCAGTGCTAGTTATTTGCTTACCCTGCCATGCAGTAGGACAGCAAAATTTATTTCTCTTCTCTCTAGCACTGTCCTGTTGACCAACCTCTTCCTTACCCCGTTCCCCTCCCCCCCACCCCCCACCCCTGGCCCTTCAGTCTCTGGAAGTCACTGCTCTTTCTATTCTGCACATGCGCTTCTCTTTATCTGAATACTGAGCTGTGAGTGTATTTATTTTACTTTTTCTCTCTCAGCTTCTCTGAGCTTCCAGGAAACAATGTTTTTCTCTTCCAGTATTTCTCCAGTGCTCGCTTTTGGCCCTGTCTAGTCTTCTCATCTCTGTTACTGTGATTTATTTCTTTAGCATTTCTACTGAACTCTCTTTTCATCTTTCACATTTTTTTTTCTTCTTCTGAAACTCCCCACCTGCTCAGGCATGCTGTCCATTTCCTCTGCTTGATGACACGTGACTTACAGTTCTCTTAAACCCTTCTTTAATAAAGACACCATCTGGGCTAAATCTTCACCCATCGATTCCTTTGTCTTCAGAGTGAACTGTGGGGTTTTGTTTTGTTTGTTTGTTTTTGCCTCTTTATTTGTCTTGTAGCTTTTATGGGAAAATGTGTTAATTCGGATTAATCTTTGTTTTCCAAATTCTCAACATTTTTAAGGAAAGAAAACATCATGTATTTACAGAAACCAGAAGAAGCGATTTTAAGCAGAGACGCTGCTTTCCTTTAATGTTATTTGGGAACAAGTTTACATGGTAGTGCTAGTTCAGTGACATCCCAGATGGGCTGCTGCACTTGTGCTCTTCAAGAGATCTCTCATCCCATGGCTAATAGAGGCAGAGGCAGACACCCACAGCTGTGAACCTAATTGAACTCCTGGAACCCAGTTGCAAAGAAGAGTGATGACCAAAGGAATCAAGATTGGGCTGGCGAAACCCACAGAAGCAGCTGACCTAAACAAGGGGGAACACATGAACCCCAGACTGATGACTGAGGAGCCAGCATGGGACTGATCCAGACACCCTCCCACTGAACCTGGGTGACAGAGAGGTCTTGGCAATCTGTGGGACCTGGGAGAGTGGAGCAGTATTTATTCCTGGCATACAGAAGGACTCTGGGAACCCATACCACATGGAGGGATGCTCTCTCAGCCTGGACATATGAGGAAGAACCTGGGCCCTTCCAGGGATGATGTGACAGACCCTGAAAATCCCTCATGGAGGCCCTTGCCCTTCCTGGGGAGCAGAGGGGGGGGGTGAAGTGGGGTTGATGGGTTGGGAGGATTGGGGGGTGGGGGAGGAGGGGAGAGAGAGGGAACTGAAAGTGACATGCATAAAAAGTTAAAAAATGTATGGAAATAAAAGAGAGTGTCAGAAAAACAGTTCCAAATTTTGCGAGTTAGAAATTCTCAGTGTGGACACATTGGTGGAAGCCCCGTGACTGTAATGGTCTGATTTACACCTGTTTACTGAGTTTCTGCTAAATGCAGGCAGTATCAGTTAGTTTCCTGTTGCTGTGACAAAACACCATGCCCTAAAGCAACCTGTTGAAGAAAGGGTTTGTTCTGGCTCATGGTTCTGGAGGGATGGGGTCTATCAGAGTGGGGAAGTCATAACCTTGCAGTAGGAGCAGGAAGCTGGCTGATCACATTTCTACGGAACTATTTATTATATAGGGTAGATGGTCATTTTTTATGCCATGTTGCCTTTTATGCAGAAGGCATGATTTAAAGAACAAGTATCAAGGCCCCAGAGAAACTCCAGGCAGCACTTGCCACGTCTGTAATGCGGATCATGGAATCTTGAGTAAGAATCGTTAAAGATGATGAAGGAGAGTGAGTGATTCCTTCTTTGAAGTGGAATGTTTATTTAGCCCAGATACACAGGGATATCTAATCCCAGGAATGTGTGCTGCCCTAATTCTATTCATATCCCATGACTCAGTACCCAAGGGGGGGAAAAAGTGGGCTTCTCACACAAATGCATCCCAGGTACTATTGAATGAGCTTATCAGAAATGAAGAGTTACGGAAATGTGGGCGTGCTCTTGAGGCTGATTCCTTTGTCTTACTTATTGCCAGTTTTTTTTTTTCCTGTATGAAAGACAGAATGGGGAAACAGGAAGGTTTGCTGATGTAACTTCCCCTTCAGCAATCCCACTCACAGTCGGTCTGATTCCAAAAGAGCCACACTGTGGTCTGGTTAGTGTAGACCAAGAGCCTTCTTTGGCTTACCACTTGGGGGAAAATAGATCTTTGTAATAAGCCTTAATCTCAAAGCAGTTAAATGTGTGGAGGATGAGCTGGACATTCAGGAAACACACCCTTGAGCCATTTCTGATGTGATTGCCAAACTTTCCACCCTGGCCACCGAGCAGATCAAAGCTGTGCTCCTGTGATTTAATAAAGGAGAAAGGCACAAACGTTTCTATTTAAATGGAGCCTTCTAGAATGTTTGCTGGAAACTATGATGCATTCCAGTTCTGGATCCTTTCACATCTCAGAGTGACAGGTCGCCTTGAGGGTGAAGTGATCATTACGGCCCTGTGGGGAAGTGTGCCGTCCGGGTGTTATCGAGTCTGATACAGAGCTCATCCGTAGCGTGGCAGCGAACTTGGTTTCTGAGGGTATATATTTTGCCCACACTGAGCGCCAAGCACTCGCACTATGCACATATTACTCGGAGTTTAACCACACAACAGATCTGGGACTATTAATTGTCTTTTTTTTTCACAGATAAAGAAACTGTCCCTCTACCACACAGTAAGGGTCAGGCCTGGAATTTGTGCTTATAAAATATGTCCTAGGAAGGAGTGATGGAAAAACGGCACCTGAGACCAAAGGAGTCGCCCGCAGTGAAGTCTAGGAAAAGAGTTCCCTTGATTGAGGAATAGAAGATCACAGGTAGAAAACCTATGAACATGGGTTAGAGCAACAGCTAAAGTCGCCCTGTCAATTCCCCACATCCTGTGGCAGTGAGAAGAAGGTGCTGAGAACCTTCTGCCCACTGCCCTCCCCATATTTCCATCCACCTCAGGACAGTGGAGCAAAAGTGGGTCAGAGGTGCTGTTGCTTTTGCTGTGGTGGTTTCCAAGAAACAGTGCAGTCTCACTGCTGTCTGTGGTTGTTTTGCTAGCCCCCTCAGCCCCTCCCATCTGATGCTTTGGTTGCTCAAGACACACATATATGTATATTACTCTCTCTCTCTCCTCTGTGTGTGTGTGTGTGTATGTGTGTGTGTGAGGGCATGCACACGCCATGCCATGCCACATTGCACATGTAGAGGTCATAGGACAACTTTGTGGAGTCCGCTGTCTCCTTCCACCTCGACTCACAGGGTGGACGCCTACATCAGGGAATCCCGTGAGTCGTCTCACTGACTCTCTATATTCTTATTTGGCATTTCTTTTCACCATCCTCCTTTTAAAAATGTTCATATCCGTTCATTTATTTTATGTGTAGAGTGCTTTTTTTTCCCTGTGTGTATGTGCGCCATGTGTAAAACGTAAATGCTGGACCTCTTAAAAAAATCTTTCTTTTCCTTTTTTTTTAATGGAATCTGCTAGTATCACAGACAGAACCAAGTTGTACTACAACCCAAAGAGATGTTCGTTGGGGTGTGTACATTTATAAGTTTGTGTTTTCTGAAGATTTAACCCAAAGGCCTTGAGCGCGCTAGACAAGTGCTCTACCACTGAGCGGTGTCATCGGCCGTTTCGAACTTTCAGTTTGAGAAAGGGTCTCCCTAACTCATCCCTGAGCTTGGTATATAGCCCAGGTGGGTCTTGGGCTTGTGATCCTCTTGTGTCAGTCACCCAAGGTGCTGGGGTTACAGTCGAAAACACGGTCTTACAAGAGACAACGTTTGGATCTCATGAGGCGGGAGGCCCGTGTAACCAAGACAGCAGGAAAACCCCACCAGAGTTAAAATGTAGATAAAACCCATTTGTAAGGGGGCAGCAAAGGTTAAACCTGGGAAGATGGTGCTAAGGTCAAATCTGAAAAGTAAGGTGAGGATGAAATTAAGATTCAAAGCGAATGGAGTATGAAGAGAAAGACAGAGGATGAGTTGTAACAAGTTGGAATTGAATGGGAAAGTGTTGAAGTCCTGGTCTTTGATGGTGATAGTTCACAGCAACCTTTCAGGAGTGAGTTTCTGTTTAGCATTGTATTAAATATGTTAACAAAATGCTCTCTCAGCCTGGACTCTTGGGGAAGGGCCTACGCCCTGTCCTGGATGAAATGACAGACTCTGGAGATCCCCCATGGAGGGTCTTACCCTCCCTGAGGATCAGAGTGGGGATTGGGAGGGGGCTGGAGGGCCTGGTGGGGGGGCGTGGAGGAGGGAGGGAGAGGGAGCTGGAATTGACATGTGAAGCAAGCTTGTTTCTAATTTAAATGAAAAAATAGTAAAAGAAAAGTATGTTATCAAAAGACTCCTCACTGGGACTTCTTATGGGTGAAAGCTTGGGCCTTTTGTTGCTGATTTGACCTTGGATATGTGTCAGAATAGAAGATGAAACATCTTGATGATGATTTTTTTTTGGAGAGATATATAGTAATTTAACTAAGAATGTTCCCCATAGATTCATATATTTCAGTATTTAGTCACCAAGGAATGTAACTGTTTGAAAGGATTAGAAGGATTAGGAGGTGTGTGGCCTTGTTAGAGTAGGTGTGGCCTTGTTGGAGGAAGTGTGTCACTGGGTAGACTTTGAGGTGTCAAAAGCCTGTGCTAGATGCTGTCTTGCTCTCTCTCCCTGCTGTCTGTGGATCAGGATGTAGTTCTCAGTTACTTCTCCAGTGCCGTGCCTGCTGCCATGCCCCCCACCAAGAGGATAATGACCTTTGAAACTGTAAGCAAGCCCTCAATTGAATGATTTATTTTATAAAATTTGCCTTGGTTATGGTGTCTTTTCGCAGCAATAGAACAGTGAGTAGCCACAGTCATATGTGCATAAGTCAGAAAGTGTGAAGTCATGAGCTCAGAATTAATCTTATAAAAACCTTTATGCTTCATTCTCTCATCTCTGGAAATAAAGTAGAAGAGGTCATTTCCTATTCCCGAGTGAGGCGTTACCAACATGCAGAGCACTGACATGTTGGTAACACTTGTCCTCAAATGCCAGATGGAAAAACGAATTTATTTCAATTATTCTCCTCTGATCTACAAGCAATTCAGTTCATTTCAAGCAGAGAAATATTATTCAATAAAAGAAGGATGTGGTAGCTCCGAACGTCAACGTGGCCAGCTTTCCACACGCAGATGTAATGTCCTTAGTGCTGCCCCAGTGGACTAAGTCAGAATGAAGTTTTACTGTGCTAAAGGAAAGTCTGGCTCCTGGGGAATGTCTGCAGTTCACTTCTGAGCCATGGATCCCAGTTCAAAGCTGAAGCAACCCAGTCAGGTTCAGCACTGACTCGTCCAGCTGTCTATCCTATGGACAACTGCAGAGGGCAACGGAGGAGAAGGTGCATCCCAGAAAAATGATTTGAGTTGAAAATTTCTATTGTTTACTGGAGGGCACAGTGGTAGGCAGCTGTAATTTTAGGTTGCTGGGCCAGAAATGGAGAGGAGTTTGGCTATATCGATCTGCACAAGGCAAATAGATGCACAGGCTCTAGCTGTGTTATTTTTGCAAACTACGGAAGTTTTACTATAAACCTTTTAAAAGGCATTGTGATTATTCTTGGTTGCTCCGTTGCAGCAGTGACCTAAGCTATGGAAAGCCCCCGCTTTAGGGTGATTGGTCCCAGCTGTAGATAAAGAGTGAGACCAGGTTGAGATGCCACGGAAAATAGTTCTGGATAGGAGTCTTCTTTGAATACTTCTTTTTGAGGGAACTGAACGGTAAATTTCAAAGTTTTCCTGAAACCTTCTTGTGTAGACATACACCGGCGTGCTCTCTGTGGATGCCAAATACTCTCTCCTGACTGTGTCCTTACAAATGTCCTTAAAAATGAGATTGTGTCCTTACAAATTTCAGGATAACAATAAAAGTGAAAAAAGTAAGACCTCGTTTACTTTGAAATCTTCAGGCATCAGCCACGCAGTCCTGTTTGCTATCAATGTTACAGCAACAGCTACTATGATTTGTGAGGGCAGCATGGATGCCGTTAAACACTGCTGTATTCATAAAAATGATGGAGGAATGCTGAACATTTCATTCCACAGAGAGGACAGTGTAAGAAGGCGTTCAAGTATGGCTTTTCATTTCGTTCCCTTCAGTCTTGAGAAGAAAGAAGAGGCACAGGCTAAATGGGAGGGCTCAGGTGAAATGATAGCATTGGGGCCGCAGGGATACTGGAGGGCAGGAAGGGAGAGAAGTGGACCTACTTGTTGGCACGGAGATGTTCCAAAGGGATACCTATGCTTTCTCTCTCTATTTCTGCTCTCTTAGTTGTGACATGTAAATAATATAAAAGTAACAATATAAGGCAGTGTGATAAAAGTCTTTTTTTTTTGAGGCAGGGTTTCTCTTGTGGCTTTGGAGGCTGTCCTGGAACTAGCTCTTGTAGACCAGGCTGGTCTCCAACTCACAGAGATCCGCTCGCCTCTGCCTCCCTAGTGCTGGGATTAAAGGCGTGGGCCACCAATGCCTGGCATGTGATGAATGCCTTTTAAAGAGTTGCATTTGATGTCAGTCACCATTCTCTGTCCTAGAGAGAACAGAGTGGAATTATCCCCACTCTAAGAGAGGTGGCCTAGAAAGTGTGGCATCACGGAGTGTCACAGATGAACACCCAGGACATATTAGGGGAGAAAAGCATTAGCATTTCCCTAATAGAGGTGTGTGCTGTAGAGGAAATGTCCTGGGGTGCTAGGCTGTGCCACTTCCAATGCGGAAATATTAAGCTACACAAAATAGGGGTGTCCTGTGATATTTTACTGAGGGAGAAATCACTTATGTCAGAAGCCAAGAAAGCCAAGAACCAAAGGTCCACACACTGCTCTCTGGGACCCAACAGGAACCCAAAGAGAGAGCATCTCCTTCCTCCCAGGCCTTTTAACCTCCATACATTCTACATACCTGTGACCACACCCAAACGGGCGTGGTCAGCGCTATCCTTACTTAAGATCTCTCCCTAAACCCTTTGGGAAGCATTCTTAGACAATGTGTGATCAGGCACAGATGTCTCTGCTTTCTTCCTGATTGCAGCCAGGAGAGTTAGGTGGTCATCCAGTCAGAAAAGCCCCATCCCTGAGGAGCCAAGGCGGTGGATGAGACATGGGGAAATGTGACCAGGCACCCACGCAAGACCCCCACCTGCTGTGGTGCGCCTGTGGTCAGGTATTGAGGTGATAAAAGACACTGCCCTGTCCTTCTGTCCTAGAGGCTGCCCTGGCTCCGTACTCACTAAAAAGCTGCTTTGAAATGCCATCGGTCCCTCAGTCTGGACGCCCAGAGAAGTTTTATTAAGTAAACATTCCCGTCTTTTCCTTTTCTCCGGAGAAGCTGCGGACGGACCGTGCCTTGCTAATTAGTGCACATCCTTGTCTGAAGCAAAGCCTAATAGTGTTGCAGCCATTAAAAGACCGCCAAGTGAGAAAGTGAAGACGGTGATGGAGCAGCTGGAATCCGACTCCATTATTTTAGAGACGTTGGGTGAGGATTGCTTTTAAATATCAGTCCATAGAGCCTTGGTTTCGTCGGGAATATGGTGGACCCTCAGGCGCTACACGAGTCACACGTTTCTTTCTTCCTTTGCCCTTTTCCTTCCTCCTTCCCTCTTTCTCTTCCGTTTTATTGCCTGTATTTCCCCTTCCCTTGCCCTCTGGTCTTCTCTTCCCTCTAACTCCATGTCTGTCTCTGTCTCCGTATCCGTCTCTGTCTCTGCGTCCTCCTTTATCTCCATGTGTACTGGTCCCCATGCTGTCTCCACGTTTAGTTTTATCTCTACCTCCATGCGTATCTCCGTTTCTCTCCCTCTGACAGGCACTTTGCCACTGGAACACACTTGAATCCTAACCCTTTCCCCATTTCAGATTCCTCCAAATGGCATGCGAGAACTGTCAAAATTTATCCTCAATTTTATTTTTTACAGTTGATCTGTTTCTACTCTTGACCCCATCTGTATTTAGACACATTCTGTTTGCATTAACATGATTTTACTTTCAACCTCTGCCTCAACCGGACTTTATTATTACAGGAAATCCTTGTCCAGGAAGATGAAGTGGAAAAAGAAAAAAGAAAAGACTTTTATTTCAGAGCCTTCTAAATTTTTATGTGAAAAATCAATTTGTTCTCATTAAATGCATGTCTTCTTCACAGAACAATAGATCACCCCACTGGGTTCGTGAAAGGATCGTTTGCTCTTTTAAGACTCTTCAAGTGCCTGCCCTCACTGTGCCCATTAACCCCATACTGCTAAACCATGAGCTTCTTTCAGAATCAAGCACATCAGTTGGGTGAGCGGTGTGGCAGGTCTTAAACATGCCCCCAAACTTTGAAATGCTGCTTCCTGAAAGGACGCAGAAGAAACACATCAGAACATTAGAAACACAACAGAACATTTGCAAGTAGTTTTTGGACATGACCCTAAGACCACAGGAAACAAAGACAAAAATAGAAAAAAATTAACTTTCATCAAATTACAAAGTGTCTGTGGTTATGGGAACCAACAGGCTGAGGAGACAAACCCTAAAAGAACTAGAGAAGGTATTTGCAACACACTCGTCTGCTGAGGGCTTGTGTATGGCATCCATAAGAACACTAAGAACTCAACATCAGTAACAGCAACAGCAGTGACAACAGTCTGATGGAGAGCAGGCAGTAGGTCTAAACAGACATTTCTCAAAAGTAAACACTCATGTGGCCAGCAGACATCTGAAAACAAAGCTGCGGATCTCTGGTTATCAGAGAAATGGAAATCAGAACCACCAGTGACCTGTTACTACAGCCTAGTAGGAATGGCTTTTTATTTATTTTTTAGAAAGACTGAAGATGGTTCTGCTAAGGCGTGTAGTAGGGATGGTAAGTGGATCAGGCACCCTGGAAAGTAGCATAGAAGTTCATGATCCAGAAACCTCCCACTCTTGGATGTAAATCTGAAGAAAATGAAATCAGGGCACTGAGACATTTACACCCCTTTGTTTATTTATATATAGAAACTTCAGCCTCTCCCAGGCATGAGACCCCTTATTGGTTGCCCAATGCAGAGTGGTCGGCCTTGAAAACCATTACACAGCACCAAAACACGGACTTAGCAGGCTATATTTATAGATTTTGTGTACACACGTATAAACATGCTTGTGTGTAACAATAATAACCAAAGAAAAAGAGGCTGTTAACTTGAGGGTGGGGACAGGGGGTCAAAGAGGGTAGCGGGGTGGGACTTGCAGGGAGGAAAGGGGAAGCAGAACGATTCTATTTTAATTTTAAAACATACTTTAAAAAAGAAGTGGAAACAATGGGAGAGTAAGCGACGGATGAGTAAAGACGCTACACAGCCAGACAAAGAAAGGGATCCTATCATACGTGAAGATGCGGTTGGACCACAAAGCATCATGCTAAGTGAAATAAGCCAGGCACAGAAAGACAAACATTAAGTGATCTCACTCACACGTGTAATCTAAAAATGTTGATTTTTTTTTTAAAGAAGTTTAGAGTTGAGCAGTGGTTACTGGAGGGTGGGGAGAGCTGGGAGAGGGCAGGATGGGCAACGGCTGGCCAGTGGGTTCCAGGCTGCGGTTGAGTAGCAACGGGAAGCCCTGTTGTGTGTCTGTGTAGCAGGTAGCTGCAGACAGCAGGAATGCGCTGTCTGAATATTTTCGCAAAACCAGGAGAAAAGGATTTTAAGTGTTTCCTTCTTAGCTAACAAAGCAATGATAAATACTTGAAGGGATAGGCAACGGAGGGATAGACATACTCAACCAGGTTTAAATATTTCTGATGTGTGTAGTGTGGAATTTGCATGTATGTATAGAGATTAACTTAAGTGATTTTCTTTTTTTCAGAGTGAGAAGGCAAACACTGAGAAGGACTGCACGCATTTTCACAGGAACTTACCTTTGTCCCAATGTTATCTTTAAGAAATCTTTAGAAACGTTGGCATCTGAAGTAGAACCCGAGCTAGCATAGTAGGGGCTCTGTAGATGCGTCCAACCAGTCAGGAGATTCCTTCTCAACTTGCCTCAAGCAAGATGATCATCAGGCCTCTGTCTTCTTCGGGAGGGGCTGTGCACTCTCCAGCATTGATCTGGATATAAACATCCATTTCATGGTCTGAGACAAAGGCAAGACTCTGGTTTGTCCTTAGCAGGAATGGCAGAAGGACCAAGTTTAAAAGGGTTGTGAAGCCACTGCCCTTTGTGACAGCTGTTCAATGCTTGCTCTAACAGTGTTATGCTCCCTCAAACACTGTGCACTTCTTCTGAATAGCTACAGTCACTCCAATTCTGAGGCTGCCCCATGAAAGTGTCAAACAGCTGTTGACAAGGACTGAATGAACGGCTGTTTGCAGCACTCAAGTGTTTCCTAGGTGGTACTATCCCGAGACACCAATGAGGGTGCTAAAGAGAAACACTAGGGAAAACCACAAGAGTACTTAGGCAACAGGAAGCTAGACTGACATGTCCAGAACTTCTTTGCAGGAGTGGAAGGTGCATGCCCTGTGACTCAGTTTCCAACCACCATGGATCGTTAGAGCTATAATTTTTCTAGTGTGTTTAATACTCAACAGTGGGCCCAGCTGTCTTCATCCTTCCTTTGTTATTTACAAATAAAAAGCAAAATCCCAGCTGGGCGGTGGTGGCACACACCTTTAATCCCAGCACTTGAGAGGCAGGCGGGTCTCTGTGAGTTTGAGGCCAGCCTGGTCTACAAAGCTACACAGAGAAACTCTGTTTTGAAAAACCAAAACCAAAACAACAACAAAAAAGCAAAATCCCTTTTATTACAGTGTAAGCTTGTTATCCCTCTACATCCTAACAGCAATAGGCCCAATGTGTTCTTTGTGTCAAGTCCCAGCGATCTGATTCCTGTGTGGTTTATGTCAGTCATATTCTCTAGGAGCATGGTAGTAATCACGAAATTGATTGTAATTTCTGTTTTAATATGGGTGACTCTTGTAAGCTCTAGACAATCCTGTGAGGTTGCATCAGGTCCATCTTACAGAGATGATAGTGTCCAATGAGAAGACACGACTTTCCGTGGGTCACACAGTAGTAAATCACAGAACCGGAACCAGAACCCAGAACTCCTGTCTCCCAGAAACACTCCCCTTGTTCTACAATGCCCAGATCCCCACTAATATATTTAAAAATAATTACAGAAGAGATGCTACAGACTCTTCAGATAGAATCTGACCAATGTTCATCTTGAGGAAAGTGAACTAATCTGGCATTAATTTTAATTGTGTCCTCCATCTGAGAGCAGCAACCATGAAAACAGAAATTAAAAGACAGAGCTCAAGATGGATTTTCTTGTCTTTGTCCCAACCTCGGAAGTCTCAGGAAGCCTATATGCAAGTCTTCCTCTGGAGGGTGGCTTTGATTTTCTTGTGTGAAAAGACAAAACTTAGGACATGTTCTTCATCACAATGGGCTCTGACTCAGGCCTTTCTTGGTGGGTGTCTCCACACTTTGCAAACAGACTGTCTGGGCAGAAATGCGCTCACACGTGACACAACAGACAATAACAGAAATCCACAGTTTCCAAGGACAAATGCGCATAAGGTATGATACAGGATACTTGCTTTGCACGTAACTTAAAAATTGCTTGTCTCTATCCCATACACTCACATTATGTGTGTGAACACAGGCTCCGTGCGCTTAGGGGACTTATCCTAGTTTGTGCAGTGGTTACTCTCCCGAGTCTGAACTTGCACGCAGGTCTGTGTGAGTCTGGAGTTTTGTTCTTGCTGCTCTGTTGTTATGTCTTTGAGCCTTAGGGGGAGAAAGAGATGAGGGTCCCGTGGAGAGGAGGGAGATGAAGGAATAGAAAGACAGAGCTTGGTAGGAGAAGAGTTTAGGCCTGTGGCCATCACTTGAAGAGAGGCAGACATGGTTCTGATCCAGAGATGCCACCTGACTTTACATCACTCACCTGCTGAGCCTTAGCACAGTTTTCTCGACGGGTTCCGTGAGTCCCAGAGACCTCCGAGGTAGTGTGGTGTTCACACTCTTGACATGTACGTATTCTTGGACGTCTCACATGCCCGCGTGTCCAAAACTGAAGCCGTGGCTTTTACTCCCAGAGCACTTATTCCTAGACATTCAGATGAACACAAATCGAGAAATGAAATAGTTGAGTGGGAAATGGAAACTGAGTGTCACTGCTGTGCCCACTGGGAGTCCAGACCGCCAGAGTCTTCCCACGCTGGTATGATTTCCCTTCACACGCAAAGCATAGCAGGGAGGAACGTGAAGACTCCGTCTCCTCTATTCAAAAGCGAAAGGAAAGATAACCATCCTCTGTGCCCTCATTTTGCTGGCCAGAGTAATGGCTGTGCTGTATTTCGGGAAGCCACATGCTCAGAAGGGAGGAGGTTTGGGAATATCTGTGCTTTCCTGTCTCCATCTGTCATCCTCCTCCTGAGTCCTCCCCTAACCCTGACCCTGAAGTCTAAGAGTCCTCCCCTACCCTGACCCTGAAGTCTAAGAGTCCTCCCCTACCCTGACCCTGAAGTCTAAGAGTCCTTCCCTAACCCTGACCCTGAAGCTTGTGAGACCTCCCCTAACCCCTCACGGGGTTTCGGCCTGGTGTTCCCTTCTGTGGCCTTCCTCTCATTCTCCTGGGATGTTCCATTATCATTTTTGCCATGGGAGCTACGACTTCCCAATTCCACAGACTGTTTCTCAATTGATTCAGTCAGTTTAGCTCCCAATCGTTAAAGGAAAAGGTTTAGCATTCAGAAAACTGCTTTCTTCTTTTCTTCTTCTTCTTCTTCTTTCTTCTTCTTCTTCTTCTTCTTCTTCTTCTTCTTCTTCTTCTTCTTCTTCTTCTTCTTCTTCTTCTTCTTCTTCTTCTTCTCCTCCTCCTCCTCCTCCTCCTCCTCCTCCTCCTCCTCCTCCTCCTCCTCCTCCTCCTCCTCCTCCTCCTCTTCTTCTTCTTCTTCTTCTTCTTCTTCTTCTTCTTCTTCTTCTTCTTTCTCATCCTCCTCCTCCTCCTCCTCTTCAAAACTGGCTCTCAAGACCACTGCTCTAAATGTGCCACATCATGGTCTAATTTAAACACAAACCAGAGCAACGCGTCCTTTGTTCTAAGGGGTAGGAACTGTACTTTCCCTGTAGGAAATAAACATTACTGTTTTAATGTGTGAGAGGTTACAGGTCGGTGCTCAGGAGGGACTGGGAAGACACCAGATGGTTTCATTAACAATGTTACGGCCACGGAACCTGCTTCTCTCCCAAGATTCCTCAGGCCAGGGGAGAAATGAGAAGGGTGTCACCCAACGCCGTTTGAGTTAAAAATACTATTCGAGTGAAATGTGTGTGGGGGGCAAAAAGAATGTTACCTACCAGAGTACATTGGTAAATCAGATGAAACAACCAGGAAGATGTGCACCTTCACAACTTAGTCTAGGCTTGTCTCAGGGAATAAGAGACCAAGGAAGTGAGTGTCTTCTGCCGGCCAGCGGGCAAGTAACTGCTGAAAAGACCGTGAGATGCAGGGAAGCCGGGCTGAGAGGCATTGAGACCTCAGGGCATGGAGGTCCTGTGGGACCTGGATAGAATTGCTGAGATGGGTTTGATCCAGCATGGGGATGTGTGCTGGGTCCCCAAGGGGGCTGGGGGGGGCTGGAGGACGACAAACCAGGAAGCACATTGTTTAAGGGTATTCACCCAGAGAGAGGCACTTTCTGCGATGAGTTGGCAGGCTGCAGGGCTGGGTGGGGGATCATTTCCCAGAGAACCAGCCACAGGCAAGGTTGCATGGTGTGTGTGGCTGTGGGTGGAGGGTGGTGAGGACCCCCCACAGGAGCGGCCAAGTCCTCCAGGGTGGTTGAAGTAGAGGATTGGGGTCTGGCAGATTTGGGACCGAGAGGAAATGCAGAGAGAACTGGAATTCCCCTATAACGAGGTCCAACCAGAGGCCATCAAGATACTGTGTACCCGGAATTGCCCCCAGGACTGGGAGACTTCAGCAAGCCAAGGTCATACATGGAGGTTTTAATTGCTCTATCCCAGCAAACATCTCTCTCCTTGGACAATTTAGAGGAACGAGGAGGGTTCCCGTGAGAGGGAAATTCTGCAAAAGCCGTCTAAGAAATGTTGAGTTCCAAACCTGGAGCAAACGGCTGAGGTGCCTATTTAAAACATCAACGTGGACCTGGCTGCCGGGTTCTCACAAGGTTTCCTCACTCCCTGCCTGTTGCAGAGCACGGCTGGCTGGCTGACATACCCCACACTCCACCCTGAACTCTCCAGCCCAGGGGCTGGGCTGACCATTCCCCGGAGGGTCTTCCCAATATAATCCAGACATTTTCGTCCCTTTGGCCTCCTGGCTGCTGCACCTTGTTCCCCTCTCTCTTGTCTCCTCCCCATCTCCCCACAGGGCCCAGCTCAGCCTCACATGTTCCTTCCCTTTGGATTCTCCCAGATGTCCCTGCCCTCTGGCTGTGCTCTCCCACATACTTGCTATACCTGGGAGCAGCCATGTCCTTTCCTCTTCCTTCCTTCCTTCCTTCCTTCCTTCCTTCCTTCCTTCCTTCCTTCCTTCCTTCCTTCCTTCCTTCCTTCCTTCCTCCCTCCCTCCCTCCCTCCCTCCCTCCCTCCCTCTCTCTCTCTCTCTCTCTCTCATGAGGCAACAACTCTGTGTTCACCGGAGTCAGGAGAAAATGTCCTAGGATTTATCAACGACGAGTGTTGATAAACGAAAGTGTTATAATTGTGACGGTATGGGTCTGGAAGCAGACTTCTGAGGGTCCGCGAGAGCGTGTTTCGGGCCGAAGAGGGATAGCGCTGTCCTAAATGTGAGAGGCACGGGTCCCATGGAGTGGAATCCCGACGCTGAATGAAAAGGAATAGCCAAGCAGACCATCGCTGTGTGTGTCCCTCTCTGCTTCCATTTCTGCAGGCGCGGTGTGGCCAGCTGTATCTCACTGACGTGGGCAGCCGCGCCTTGCCCACAGTGATAGGCTCGCCTAAACCAAGCCAACCCCGCCTCCCTTAAACTGCTTTTTGTCAGGTATCTTATCATCACAGCCGTGAGGACAGCACAGAGCACACACATACCTCGCTGGGAAACGAGGCCATTGGCGCCACAAACCCGACAGTGTGGCTCACAGGCCTTTCCAGCCAGCGGGTTTGCACGAGGAGAGTGGAAAGGTTTGGAGCTGCAAACTAGAGAAGCCCCCCCGACACTGTAAAACGGCTTAATAGGCCACTCTCTGGGGGTTTGGAAGGCTGCGGTGCTTAAACAACAAACAAACACAACCAACAACAGAAACAAAACAAAACCCACAGATAGCAGATGAGGCTTGGCTCATGAGGTTTCAGAGGGGACTATAAGGACTTTACCAAAAACTAGCTAAAGGCTGTTCTACTCGTGTTATGTGTGACAGAGAGCTTTGCTATGTTCTGCCCATGTTTTCGTTGTTTTGTTTTGTTTGTTTTCTGCCCATGTTTCGAGAACTTGAGTAACGGGATAATTTGTTTGTGGGGGGATTTCAAGACAGGATAGCATTCATGCTATGGCGTGGTTACCACCCACTGCTATCCAAGTCTGTGGCGGCGGTAGAAAATAATACTAAGAGGAGAAACAGCAACAACAACAACGAAGGAAAATGGGCAGCTTGATGAAGAAAGAGCAAAAGCTACCTTAAAAATACAGACAAAGCAGGCAATAATTGCTAAACAGTTTGGCATCATTAAAGAGCACCCTCTTGCTTTGCGCGCCCGAGATGAAGGATTGTTTGGGGGGGGGTTAGACTCTACCCACCAAAGGTGCCAGTTTGTGTGAATTTATCCTGAGAATCTAATGCCCCTGGAAATCAACTACCTAGAGTGAGCCTGCCTGGAGGCCAGTGCAGATGTGCTTCAAGGGGTCCAGCTTCCATATCGAAGTGGCAGCGACTGGGGGGGAGGAGGAGTGCGTGAAAGGGCGTAGGAGTGAGAGGCTTGCTCCAAGGTTCCAGAGAGCTGCTGCTGAGACCTGGAAACAGGTGGAAGTGTCAGATTTCCAGCAAGGGGGCGGGGGGGGGGGGGAAGGAGGATGAGGCAGGCGTCCCAAGACCTTTGGAGCTTGAGTAGTTTTCCATCGTGAGTCCAAGACAAGTCTACCTTCTCATCTGACATTGAGACACATCACTAAGTCGTAACACTCCACTGCTGGCCCTTTAAGTCGCTGTTTTTTTTTTAATTTCATAATTCAAAGTGCATTTGGCACACATCTAAAATTGGTTGACCTCAAAAATTCACATCAAGAATAACTACTCTGCCTGCATTTGTAGCATGTTGATATGTGAATGTGTGTCTTTACTTCCACGGGCATAGACATGCCATTCTTAGTTTTTGAAAGTGTTTACTGAGCAATACCACGAGAATGTCTGGAAATTTAAAATGATTTGACTAAAAAGCATTCCTTTTCACTTCTGAAATGCTCCACTTTGGAAACAACTTCCTGGTCAAACCTATGTAATTTCTTCTATGTCTTCCTGCAAAACCAGTTTTTATAAAAAAAGATTTATTAATCTATTATGTATAGTGTTCTGCCTGCATGACAAAAGAGGGCA